TAATAAAATGTACTTAATAAAAAACTTTTAAATAACTGCCCAAAAACAGAAAACTAAAAAAAAGCACGAAGAAAAATTAATTACAGTGCCAGCGCTGAAGCTTTAGAAACGGTAARCGCAGCAAACACTTTAATACTGAATTAATTTCAGATCTATTTAATTCAAAAAGCTTTATGTTAAACAGTTAATGCTGAAAGTGCTGAATTTAATTAGGCAGAAGTAAGTGGGTTGTATCGTAGTCAGAAGTGGAAAGATTTGATTTTCGGTGATGTCTTCAAAACTAAGAAAAAAAAAACCAAAAAAAAATTGTAATAATTAAAAGTAACAAGTGGAAGATGGAAAAATATATACAATGGAATGAAATACTACTATATTTAAGTGGAATGCATCGGAAAAATAAAAGATATCAATCACCTAAGGTCTGAGACTTTATCTGCTGGGAAAGTGTCTAAAAACCACGCCAAAGCCGCTCAAAGATCAAATTAATTCATTGCTTTTGCATCATGAATATGATCTGGTGGGACAGACGTCCAATAAGAAGCTCTATTTGGCCATATTGAAGTGTTTGCGCTTCGAACATCTGTCGAAAACGGCCGGAATTGTGAAATAACAATTCATGAATTTTRCAAGATGATAATGCACAATCGCGTTGATTCCCGATTATGACCGAATTTAAAGCCAAAAAAGCAATAAATACCATCGATAAACCACCATATTCACCAGATTTAGCTCTATGTGATTTTTTCTTGTTTCCCAAACTGAAACTGCCGCTCCTTGTAACCCTTGTTTTATTTGATCGAAGAGCTATAATAAAAAAATCGCTGAAGGAGCTGAAGGCCATCCCAAAAATTGTTCGCAAAAGTGCCTATATAATCATTTATTTATATAGATTAGGGTTAGGTGATACATATAATCGTTAGCTGAACAATATTATTGTACAGCACCTTTTTAATCAAATCTATAAAGCATCAATCAAAGAATCAATCGAAAACTAACTCCTTTTCTCTCTCTGCCTTTTCTGACTACAACAGCTCACAGGTTATCTTRCGAAATATGTGAATTACCAACTGCAAAGCAAACAGCGACGGACGATAGAGCTAGCAAAATAACAATTTTAATAAACGTTACTCTTCGCCACGCGTGTAGATGCCACAAATGTGGCGCAACACTACAACACTCCCACCACTGTATACCGCAGGTACAGAAACCTAGTCTCACATAAACAACTCAGACTCCATTTGACGTTCTCTACGCACCCCACACTAAGCCACCAGCCAGTCTCCCCCCTACTCAGCGTCAACGGTTATACCACCATGCACACATTCAATTTGAACACACACACCAGCGCCTTTATTGCCGTGAGCATCACTTACCTGYTGTTCGCGCTGCACACCTTAGCCTACCACGTAGACACATTGACGCCCGCCACAGGCAAAATCCCGACAACACATACAACCGTTAGCACACGCAAGCTGAATCACACCTCTTTGCTGGATATGTCGATCGACATTGCGGTCGATCCGCATGCGAATGCATCTGTGGTGGCGTCGACGRTGGCAACGTCGACATTGGCAGCGTTGGCGTTGAATTCCAGTGGAATTGTCACTTTTGGCCCTGACAGCGGATATGTGTACGAAGACCGGCAAGGTCATGTTGTGAAGCGCGAGAACATCGAGTACGATTTGACCGGCTTGCGCGTGTACAATGTGGGCGTGTTGATGGCATCGCATCTGGGTAGGTTTGGGGGGAGTTTATGCACATATGGTATATGTATTAGTATATGTTCACTGTTTCCTAAATCAGTGATATGTTTAATGTTAGCTTCATATCAGTGAATTGCCACCAGGGTAAAGAATTTTTTATTAAAAAAAAGAAGTAAAAATGAATTGTCAATTCCGAGTGTGATATAAAAAATTAAAATTTCTTTAATCAATTTAATTTTTTTAATTTCAATTAATTTAATTTTTTTTATTTTAAATAAATAAATTCTTAATTAATTAATTTTTTTTTAATTGAAAATATATTTTTTCCAATCTATATTTTAATGCATTTAAAAATTTTGCAAACCTTAATTTTAATTTTAAAATCAGAATTAAAAATATAAAAAATTAAAGGACCTTTGTATGTGTGAGTTTAATGACTATTACTCTAGAGTATTGAAAATCATGGCTCCAAACGAGCTCTATTTCAAGAAGAGAGAAAAAA